ACAGAGTTATATGGGATCATAGGCACTAGCCATTTATTTCCATATGGTTCAATGGAAACTGTGCTACAATGGAAGATTTGAGTAGCTGTGTTATAGTCCATATGGTGCTCAAGTCTAACATATTTACCATCTTGCTATTTACTGAAAAAATACAGTCAACACCTCATATAACTAAAGAGATTGAAACATAACATCTTACAGTTCTGGATTTCTTTTGGTGTTTTTTCACTTACTAGGAATGGCCTCTTTCTATGTTCTTTTGTACTCATTAAATTATTTTTTAATGTATGCTCTCATTTAATTCTCATTATAATGGAGAAAGTAGCTGTGTGGGGTTTATTTCCATAAGCAAACTTGCAAAAGATATAAGGACAGGAGAAAGTGAAAATGTCTATGAACTTTTCAACAATTACCTCATATATCAGCTCTACAGAAGACTTTCCTAATTAACATAGGCAAAAGTTGTTATGTGGAGGACTAAAGTGCACCTGACCCAAGTCATGTTTTTTTTCTCTCAATTGCCTCACATGAAAGTTGGACCTTGAAAAAGGAAGACAGAAAAAAGAATCTATGACTTTAAAATATGGTGCCGCCAAAGAATATTGAAAGTACCAAGGACTGCCAAAACAACAAACAAAGCCATCTTGGAAGAATGCTCATCATCTTGGAATAATACAGCCAGAATGCTCCTTAAAACTCACTCATTCCTGCCCTGCTCCCAGCCAGTCCCGGGGCTTTGGGGCTCAGCTCAAGGGGAGTCCCTCTGGGACATGGGATACAGTGAATGGTGTGACCCTTTGCTGGGTATGCTGGGCCGCTCTAGGGTTCCCATATGGGCTCAAATACATTTCTTCCCTTTTTCTTAAAAAACAAACAAACAAAAAGATCTCACTCATTCACTGCCATTAAGTCAATGCCAATTATAGCAACCCCATAGGGCAGGGCAGAAAAGCCCTGTGAGTTTCCAAGACAGTATCTGTTTGTGGGAGTTGAAAGTCCTATTTTTCTCCAGAGGAATGGCTGGTGGTTTCAAATCATTTTGGTCACAGCAAGAATGCTGAGACTTGGTCTCATATACTTTGGACATGCTATCAGGAGAGAACAGGCCCTGGAAAAGGACATCATGCTTGGTGAAGAAGAACAGTTTAAAAAAAAAAGGGGACGACCCTCAACAAGATGGGTTGACCCAGTGGCTGAAACTATGGGTTCAAACATGAGAACAATTGTGAGGATGGCACAGGACTGGGTGGTGTTTCATTCTGTTGTTTATAGGATCATTATGCCTGAGGGCACGAACAACAACAACATAGGCAAAATTGATCACTTACTCACTTACTCTTTAAACTTCAACCGTACCTTAAAAAGGTATCTCTCATGTACCGATGCACTTGATTGTACTCTATTAACTTATTTTTCTTTCAACTTAGAACCTGTAAATTCCTGAGGATAGATATTTATTCATTCCACAATATCCACTGGGTCTAAGCATATGCTGTCTCTAAATACAGTGGTGAAATTAGACTCATTCCTGCCTTCAGAAACTCTAGTCTAATGAAGAAGATAGTTAAGAAAGGACATAATAATGATGTAGCTGAAAGTGTGCTATAATGGAGAGAGGACTCAGCTAAGTCAGATTACTGTGGTCAAAGAAGGCATCTTGAAAGAATTATCATTGTGTTAACCTCGGAAGAAAGATTAGGAGTCACCAAAGCAAGAGAGGGGCTAAATTCAAGGTGCATGTATACAGAGAAGTCCATGGGATGATGCAAACACAGATGGAGAAGTGTGCAGAGAGAAGAGTCTTGTATGCCATGTTGAGAAGATTGAATTTGATCTTAAAACCATGAGGTTCACTGGAGGATTCTCAAAACTGCACAAACAGCATGAAAATCTTTGTTGATATTGAGATAATTCTAACTCATGGTGACCACCTGGGTGTCAGAATAGAATTGTGTTCCATTGAGTTTTCAGTCACCAAGCCTTTCTTCCACGGAACCTCTGGATAGATTCAAAACTTCAACCTTTCAGTTAGCAACTGTTAGTCTGGGTACATTAGAGAAACAAATCCACAGAAACTCATATGTACTATAAGAGAGAGTTTTATATAAAGGGTAAGTGCACATCAAGAAAACATCCCAACCCAGTGCTGCTCAAGCCCACAAGTCCAATATTAGCCCAATGTTCAACACCAATCAACAAAGTCCTCCTCCATCTCACAAAACACACGCAATGATGCTGACTGTAGGAGGAAAGCTAAGTCAGTGAATGTGTAAGCATATCAGTGCTGGCAGGGGTCTCCACACAGCTCCTCCAGCCCCCACAGCTGCATCAGGGTAGATCCATGTGGCTTCTCCACAGGGATGTCTTGCAGGAAGTGAGCCTTGCCAGCTGAAGCAGGGAACTGGCTAAGGCAGCTGCACCCTGATCCGACCATCACAAAGCAAGAGACCCGAAAACTAGAAAGGCGAGGCTTACTGAGCCATTTATCTCTCCATCCTTCAATTAATCCCACATGTGTTTATCAGCCAGGTTGGCACAATAAATTTTGACTATCTCAGCAACCAAGAATGTGAACAATTTATACCACCCAGACGCTCTGAGGATTACAGAAAGCTCAGTAACAGGATCAGATTTGTATTTTCTAAAGGTTGCTATGATAGTAGTTTGAGGTCCATCAAACAAGACCTGATCATTAACGGTTAAGGTTGTAACAGGAGAGTAGACAAAGAAAGTGGACATGCTTGTTGATGTTATGTGCCGTTGAGTTGGCTCTGACCCATGGAGACCATATATACGTACAACAGACCAAAGCACTTCCCAGTCCTACCCCATCCCATAGTGGCTCCTGTGCTGAGCACATTGTGTAGTCACAAAGTCAATTCATCTTCTTGGTGGCCTTCCTCTTTTTCACTGCCCTCTTCTTTACCAACCTTGTCATCCTTCTCCAGAGACTGGTGTCTTCTGACAACCTGTCTGAAAAATGTAAGAGCAACTTTCTCTGTCCTTGCCTCCAAGGATTACTCTGGCCTTACTTCTTCAAAGACAGGTTTGTCCTACTGGACCTGTGTAAGTGATATGAAAGAACTGGAGTTATTATGATTTTAGATTACACCGTCACAGAATGTAGATAAGCAAGGAATGATAGCATCTCTCCAGAGACACCAGCTATATTCTCAGCCACCCCCAAAGACCAGCAATCAGAGAATCATGCTCCCGTACCCAGCTGCTGCCCCATTTCCCTGAGAAAGATGGTGAGTGCTGCAGGACAGACACACTGCCCCACTTAGTCACTCACATGTATCAACACAAGATGAAAGAGAAACATAACACAAACACGCAATAAGGAGTTAACTGTGATAAAATATCTAATCACATGATGCAGCAGGACAAAAGGGCTCCAGCAAGCTTCCAAAATAAGGATCCAAAAACTTTTATGGAGGAAGAAATAGTAACAGATAATTTACACAGTTGTCCAAGAGATCAATTAAAAACACTTAAACAGCAGAAAAGGAAGCACCTACGTGGTACATAATCCTAGAAATCCTGCTAATCTAAAGAGTTCTCCCAGAGAGTAAAAAGAGAACTTATCAATTGGGGCTGGAGATTAGGTATGACATATCTGATAAGGGTCTCCTCACTTGACTTTTAAGGAAAAGGTCAACACCTCAATGCCACAAAGATAAACAATCCAGTTTAAAACCGAGTAAAGGATATAAACAGACATGTCACTAAGGAGGACATCCTAGCAGCTAACACATACATGAAGCAAAGTTTGTGACCAGTAGTCATTACAGAGTTGCAGATCAAAGCTACGATAAGATACCATTTCATTCCAGCATGCAATAAGGACACTAATGAACCAATAATCACCAGGTGACAGGCTAGACAACCTTTGCCCAAAGTCAGCTCTATTGAATACCAATCCTGTAAGGGTGAAAAACTGTTATGTCCAGTGGATCCCTTCTTCCAGCTACTCTATAAGACCGAGTAGAATTGCCTCCTGGGGCAGAAATTTTTGGAGAGGAGCCCTAACGGTTAAGTATTGGGCTGCTAACCCAAAGACTGGTGGTTGAGCCCCAGCAGCTCCAGTGGAGAAAGGCCTGGGGAGCCTAAAGGAAAAGGGGCAGTTCTACTCTGTTCTATAGGGTCTCTCTGAGTCAGAAAAGACTCATATTTTTACAGAAGAAGCCACATCTTTCTCCCGATGAGCAGCTGGTGTGCCTACAGCCTAACACTTATCCAATGAACCACCAGAGAGCTTTTTCCCATGAGGTAGCACATACAATGTTTATTTTGCTGGGGTGGGGCCAGTAAACATTCATATCATCAAGGTGGTGAGAAGAGCTACGGAATGAAAATGTTAGCATTGCAAAACTCTAGGTTCTACAAATGTATTTGAACACAACCCCCCCCCCCTTTTTGAGCAAGCTCTTTCTTACCCAGCATACTTCAGAAAACAATGTCGGAAACGGTGGCTCAAAAGTGTGACTAATTAACTAATCTCTGAAAAGTGCTAGCTGAAGATGGCTTCAAATGCTGGCCTCTCCTCAAGATTTTTCTGTTTTACATTGCTTCATGCAGCTAGCAGCATTCAATGGGTGGGTTGGAGGCTTGGCTCAGGATTTTTTCAAAAATCAAAGTAACTTCCATTTCACTAGCTTCCGTTCCACCCTAAGTGCAAACCCAGTTCATTCCAGGTAGCGGATGCAGCAATGAAGGCAGACATGGCACTTTCCCGACGTTATTCAGCTATATTCCAAAGCCAGTGAGTATCTTGCATCCTCGTCTGTTCCGTGTCCTTGTTGTTGGATGCTGTTCTATCTGGGCAAGACTGTAAAGCGTATTCAGATTTGCCTTCGAATGCATGTACATTTCTCTCAATAAAAATAGAAAGATTATAAAGTCAAAGGTCAAAGTTAAGAGCTGCATAGTGATGGCTTTCTTGGGCTATGTTATTCAACCGCCCTCATACACGACCGTGGGTTTAATTGTAATTTCAGGTGGCATCTTCTTATTTCAAAGACTTCCACCTACTGTTAATTGGAGTCATCTGTTTAGCAACATCCATAGAAAAATGGAGTTTACACAAGAGGATCGCTCTGAGAATGGTGATGATGGTGGGTGTGAACCCGGCATGGTAAGTCCTGTGTTTCCTACTCCCAGTTTGCCTTGTGAACAGACCCCTTTGCTAAGAGCAAACAGTCTAGTCAGCCATGCATATCTAGGGGATTATTCAGACTGCGCTATAATTCATGACCTTTCCCCCCCTTCTGCAAAAATGAAAGTGGTGTAAAGTGTGCTTGAGATGGAGGAGGGGAAACAACAACAATGGCAACTTTCTTTTCACTGCGGGTCCAATTATAGGGAGAGCAGAATGAGGGCTCACCCTTCTCTTGCCTTTTATGCAGCTTGGCGTCAAAGCTGAGAAAAACCGTGAACCTCACCAGACAAGAGTGATAGACTTCAGAGTAGATTTTCATCCCATCTTGTTTATTTGGCTGATTGCACATTCAAGACTTGTTCAAGAGCATCCTTGATCATCAGGGAGGATATTAAGAACCAAAGACATAACTGACAAAATACAAATGTGGGCAGGAAAATTCCAAGGTGAACACATTTTTTTCCCTCTGACAAAACAACTATTGCAAACCAGCCACAAAGAAGACTCATTTGCAGCGGAGAAATCACTAGTGACACTGAGTTTGCCCCCTGAAATGAAAGGTTGTATGTGCATAGATATAGACCACTGGTCATCAAGAACATGTATAGGAGATCAAGAATACACCTAGGGTCACCATGGAGCTATGCTTTTAAATACTTTGGCCATCTTTCCCTTCATGTCTTCCCTGGGAAATAGGAAATGGCTACAGAATTCACTTTAGGAGTCCTTCCAAGTGATAGCCTGATCTGTGTTTATCATTTAAGAACTTGACCATTTTGTTAAAGACAAAAGCAATACAAAAAAATGACTCAGATGAGACAACACGCATTTTGCTTCTTAAAAATGTTAAAGCATATGTTTACTGAGAGTATTTCACTCTTAAGATGCAAGAGTTCCCTACCCGTTGGGCTGCTATAGAAATGTGCCTCTTGCCCTGGACCCTGGGTTCACTCGCTCAGTGGCCCCAGTGGGGTAATGCATTACTTAGTCACTCAGGAGACGCGTCCATTCCGTGAGTAAGTGGCTATGCAATGGAAGGCATTTTCATCTGCACAGAAGTTTTAGCTACATCCCAACATTTATTTGTAGAAGGTTTTCAAGTCCTGCCAGTGACTTCCATGTACTTCTAGTTCTCTTTTTAAGAATTACGGTTTTGGATCAAACCACTTGCTAAAGTAGTTTTTATTGATGCGTTTTTTGTCTGTAGAAAACATTCACCCTATCTGAAGTTTCATCTGTAGCATGGAACTGTTTGTTGTTTGTTTTTAGACATATATTTAAAGGGAATCAGGGATACTCATTTGGGGTTCAAAAAGGACAGATGTGCTTCTGAAGGTTTTGCTCGGGCCCCAAACTTGAGAAAGATCATAGTTTTACCCAAGTGTGATTTCAGACATTTATAGACAAAGTTTAAAATCTGATAGCCTCAAGTTTGTTGTTTTTGAAGAAGAAGCACTACTCCATTTATCATGGAAAACAATGTAATATATCCAGTTCTCGACAATAGACAGGCATGTCAGATTCAGAAGATCATAAGTAATAGAATATGCAGGAATCTCTGAAACCTCATTTTAACTAGTGATTTTAACAATTTGCTCTGACATATTTGGAAATCACTGTGAACAAGTAAAAGGCAGATTTAGAAATATTAATCTCTCTCCTTATCCTTGTGCCTCTTTGGCATACATATTGACAAACAGATATATGGCCAAAAAAGAAAAAGAATAAGGGACGTAAATTTAAAAATTGATGACACCTCCATTTCATCTCTAAAGAACACTTTAAAATTGACATAGTGTTATGAGTTATTATACCATACACCACCTTGCAGTTTAGTTCTAAGTTTAATTATTTTGATATTTTCTGAATAAGATTGTTAATCTGCCTGGGACGATAAACTTAAGAACTCCATCCTTCTCTAGGTCATGTAGATTTTGACAAGGCCTTGACTAAACTTAGAGTTTGTCATCCAGGTGAACCTCCATTTCCTGAATTAAAAAAAGAAAATTCCCAACAGACAACATCCTTTAAAATTAAACAGTACAGAGCTAATTAACCTAGAGAGCACAGCTCTGCACTAAAGGCTCTCTCCTTTCAGGCTGACACTGGGGTTCATGATCAGCACTGCCTTCTTATCTATGTGGCTTAGCAACACCTCCACTGCTGCCATGGTGATGCCCATCGTGGAGGCTGTGGCACAGCAGATCATCAGTGCTGAAGCAGAGGTGGAGGCCACTCAGATGACTTATTTCAATGGAGCGACCAACCCTGGATTGGAACTTGATGGTATCATGTATTTATATGCCCACAGTGGGGTCTAGTCATTTGGGCAATAGTACTAAATTCAAGAACTCATGGCTTATTTTTATTTTTTTTTCATGGCTTATTTTTGAATGAACTAGTTATGCATGATGTGATTTAAATTTTCTCTTTCTATACTTTCCAGAGTTTATACTTTCCAAAGCCCTGGTGGCATAGTGGTTACTCAATGGGCTGCTAACTGAAAGGTCAGCAGTTTGAAACCACCAGCCATTCCTCTGGCAAAATAGTGAGGCTTTTGACTCCTATAAAGAGTTACAGTCTCAGAACCCCACAGGGGAAGTTCTACCCTGTTCTATCTGGTCATTATGAGTCTGCAGCAACTTGATTGTAGAAAGATTGGTTTAGATAAGAAATGTTTTATGTAAGAACATTTTGTTATACAAATACTTCTATTGTAATTAATGGCTGGATTTGTATTCTCTGGCAAAAGATGAAGAGTGATTTTTTTTTGATCATCTTCCACCAGTCGAATGGAATTCTTTCTTTTGTCTTTATCTATCTACTTTCAGGTTACTCTATCTTATCTTGAAATGACTTTTCTGCATAATATCAGCAATCTTTAATTCCTTCACTGTGTTGGGTTGGAGCATCAGATTTTACTGAGGCTATTTTTGACTCCGAGGTGCTGAAAAGTGTTGGGTGAATATGTATGTTTATAAAATACTCTGTTTAGATGCATTTATCTTCATTTTCTAGTCCTGCTTCTATTTGCTTGCATGCACCCAGAGATACACCTCTTATTTAAATGATGTCCCTTTTATTTAATGTCTTGCAGAAAATGTTAATGGACATGAAATAAATGAGAGGAGAGAGAAAACAAAGCCAGCTCCAGGGTAAAGAATATTGACAAATTTGATTAGGATTTTCCAAATTACATTTTAGCAAAATTATAAACCGAGTCAATTTATTTTTCAGATGCTCTACTGATGAAGGCAAAATTTCAGACAAGACGGAAGTGGAAAAGGTACATTGAATTTTATATGCCCTAAATAATTATATATGAAATTCTATCAGAGATACAGTTATCAGTTAGATAGGGGTACATTTTAAAACCTGTGTTACTTCTTTCCTCGCTTATAAAGTATTTTGCTTGCCAAGGTCAAAACGTAGTACAATGATTTATTAAGCCTTTATGGATAGACTGAAATTAATACCATGATAAGAAACATTTTATGCTCTGAAAATCAGTATTATTGTTTGCTTCTTTTATATCAGTTAGCAGCTGGAGTTTAAAACAACATCTTTCTAGCCCCATTCAGAATGTTGTTTCATTTTCTCCTTTAAAATCTTGCTGGTCAAATGGGCTGGTTTTTATCAGGAACATCCTAATTTCTTCCTGGTTATGAATGTAAGCTCCTATCTGTGTCATAGCAAGTCCAGTTATTTTAAGTGTTGCCCTTGCCACTAAAAAGATCCAAATCAGGATTTACAAAATTGGTACGGTTCAAGGCCAGTGTGGAGGTGCTGTTGTGAACGTTCTAGATGTGAAAGCAAAGAAGCAGGACCTCTCTAGAAGAATCTATGATATCCGTTTCTCCCAAATCGGTTGATTTTTTTTATTTAAAGGTTTCATTGGTAACAATATATCTGGGGACCCCAGAAAAACAACGCTGCCTTCAAATCTAGACCTCTGGTAACCATGGCATTATAAGAGGGGGGCTCATTTTCCTTCCTCAGGCTCTAACACAGACAATGCAAACGGCAGAAATAAAAAGTGAAAACACAACACTTGTTACAGAAATCTAAAAGGAATGAGCAGTTTCTATGTGCAGAGAAAACGAATTCAACAATGTTGTCAGACATTAGCTGCATTATGCATGAAGATTTTTGAAGACTGAGAATTACATATGTATTTATCTCTTTGGGAGAAAGACAGGGTTCTACTCCCTTAGACAGTTCAGTCTGAAACCCATATGGGCAGTTCTACCCTGTTCTATAGGGTCACTCTGAATCAGTACTGACTCAATTGCAGTGAGTTTGTTTTGAGTTTGTATTTATCTCTTTAGGGATAGGAGGAGTTCATTTAAAACATAGAATTTAAGTTTATCAGGTAAATTATGAAAGAGTGCCTTAGAAGTGGTCCTCTAAAACTGGTTTGAAATCAGTAAATCTTAGCAGAAAGAATATCGGGATATATGGATAGTAATGTCTCTGTTTAGACGCACAGTCTACTATTATAATGCTTAAATTGTGGCCTAAGGCCCTTCAACTTAATAGTCAAAGTTTTCCCAGACATTATAGAAAGGTCTCTTAATGCCCAAACCTACCCCTTAATGCAGGCAGCACCGAGTCTGGGAGAAAGATGGGCTTAAAGGACTAAGTGTGATCTGAGGGGAAGACCTGTGTGTCTGAAAGCCTAAGAGCATATACACCCAGATGATGTGTATTTGATTCACCCTCTTGGTCCAGTAGAACATTCCATCACCTGGTGCAGGGTAGGGATTCTATGCCTGTTACATGTTTAACTATATTATTTAATTAAGAAATTCATTCGTGGATGCAAAGAGTGGACAAGGAGAGGCATTTAACAGAAGAAAACTACCAATTCAAAGTCCAAAATATAAACAGAGCAGAGCTCCAAATAGTACTATTTTTAGTGCCAGGATAAAATGCTTAGCCTGGTGTTGCTGTAGGCTAAGCATTGGACCGCTAATTGTAAGGTTGGTGGTTCAAATTCACCAGCAACTCCATTGGAGAAAGATGAGATTTATAGACTCAGAAACCCTTCATAAAGCCACGGGGGATATTGATTTTGGTTTTTATCTTCAGAACATGTGGTTGAGGTGCATTGTTGTGGTAGGTGAAACTAGTTGGGTAGCTTAAGTCAAGGTAAAAATGGCTCTTCAGGAACAAATGCATTGATGAGGGTAGGAAAGGTGGTCAGACAAAGTGCATCATGGTGAGATCCCAGGCAATGGAACATGGATTGTGAACAGGAAAGTGTGAGAAAGTACCCGGATGGGCCTCATATTAAGGATGCCACAACTCTGCCCAGAACACAGCAAAGGCTTCATCAGGGCTGTGTTGATTCATTTGTTTGTTTGTTTGTTTTAATCATTTTTATCGGAGGCTCGTATGCTTATC